TCTGTTTACACTCACCACAGATGGTTAGTGCACAGACGAGTGTCTCCTTCTCATGTTGTAAGGTCCTTCAAATGGTGGACCAATCCACACAACCTTTTGGCAGGCGTCCCATTCCATGGAGATCAACTCTCTGCCCACATAACCACAGATGCTTCCCTCATTGGGTGAGGCACTCACACGGGCAGCATATCAATAGAAGGATGATATACGACCCATGAGGTGACCTTTCATATACATTTGTTGGAACTCAGGGCTGTCTTCAATGCATGGAAGCATTTCATTACACATATTCGAGGCAACACGATCAGAATATTGACCAACAACATAACAACAATGTATTATATAAATCTCCAAGTGGGTGCTTGATCCCATTCTCTGTGTACTGAAGCAGTCAGGTTATGGAACTGGTGCATACGCAACAGAGTCATTTGGTAGCTTCATACTTACCAGGCATCAAGAATGTAACAGCAGACACTCTCAGCAGGCACTTTGCCCCAGATCATGAGTGGGAGCTCCATCCCTGGGTCCTTCAACCCATCCTCCACTAATGGGGTCACCCAAAAATAGACCTATTCGCCTCCTACAAGAACATGAAATGTCAACATTATTTCTCCAGAGCCGGTATCAGATTAGGATCTCTAGGGCATGCCTTTCTCCTCAAATGAAAAGGCCCACTTTTATACACATTCCCTTGCACTTCTCTCATTCCAAGAGTGTTCAAAAAGATCAACAGAGATGAAGCAACAGTTATTCTCATAGCCCTGTTTTGGCCATGACAGATATGTTTCCCTTATCTGTATCTGCTATCTCCTCAACCACCCTATTACCTTCCCATTCATTATGGCTTCCTAACTCAGAACACCGGAACCTTACTCCACCCACAGCCACATGTCTTACACCTGACAGCATGGCTCATTGTTGGTTCTGTGAAGGGGAATGTCATCATTCGAACCAAGTGAAAAATGTCCTTTTGCACAAAAGAAAGCAGATATCTGGGTGGACCTGAGGAACTGGTGGGAGCTGAACCACACACATGATCAAAGGTGTGCAAACGGCTCGAGGTGCGAGCTGCACGTGCACAGTCTGGTTGACTAATGCTCATGAAAACTCCGATCTGCGGTACCAGGATGATTCAACACCAATAGTGGAGCGCCCATGGGGGGACACATCTTGAAGAATGGTCATTACTGCACCAAGGTGAGTAACTTCCTCTTCCTGTGCCCTCAGTAAGGCTTCATTAAAATACAGGCAGCTCTTCTCTTTTACCCTCATATTAGGCTCCCAGAGCAGCCTGCCCATCAGTTCCCTGAGGGAGCCAAGGCTGATTTTCTGAAGTCCAAGATCCATATTCTGCTGCTCTCCTTTCCTTCATTTTGTCACGATCTTAAATTCCATCCTCTCTTGGTCACTGCTGTCCAGGTTGCCATCTACTTCTATTTCCCTTACAAATTCTTTCCTATTTGTGACTGGCTGGTCAAGGGGAATATGACCCCTATTAGGTCCCTACAATATTTGCATCAGGAAGTTGTTCTAACTACTTCCCAAAAAATCCCTGAATTGTCTGTATATTGCTGTATTGCTTTCCCATCTGATGTCAGGGTGATGGAAGTCCCCCATGAAAATGAGGCCCTGGGATCTGAATACTTCTTTTATTTGTCTGAAGAAAGCCTCATCTATTTCATCCTCCTGGACTGGTAGTCTATCGCAAACACCCAGGATGACATCACTCTTGTTGCTCTTGCCTCTAATGGTAACTTGAAGATTTGGAACAGGCTTTTCTCCAGTTTCATACCAAAGCTCGGAGCAGTCATACTGAAGCTCTGAGCAGTTATACTTATAGTGCAACTCCTTCTCCTTTTATAGCTCACCTGTTCTTCCTGAACCATTGGAGTTACCCCACCAAGTCTCATTTCCAATCACATCATAGTTTCTTGACTGTGCCAGGGCTTCCAATTCTTCCTGTTGGTTTCCAAGGCTTCTTGTGTTCATGTTCAGGCACCTAAGACAACTAGCCAGTTGCCCTACTTTCTCAGTATGAATCAGGAGGATTTCCCTTTTACACTCTCCTCCTTGGCTGTGTCTACACTGGCACCCTTTTCCATAAAAGGGATGCTAATGAGACACTTCGGAATTGCAAATGCCATGGGGGATTTAAATATCCCCCATGGCATTTGCATGAACATGGCTGCCGCTTTTTTCCGGCTCGGGGTTTCGCCGGAGAAAAGCACCAGTCTAGACGGGATCTTGCGGAAAATAAGCCCTTTTCCGGAAGATCCCTTATTCCTACTTTCAAGTAGGGAAAAGGGTGCCAGTGTAGACACAGCCCTTGTGTTTCCTCCCAGTATCCCACTTGCCTCAGGAGTTAGGTCACCATCTCCCAGAGAAACTAGTTTAAAGCCCTCCTCACTATGTAAGCAAGCCTGCCTAGTGTCCTTAGTTGGCATTTTATTTCCAGCAGAAATGTACTGATCCTCCTGGGCCTGATCTACACAACAGTGGAAAGTCAAAATAAGATAAGCAACTTCAGCTATGTTAATTATGTAGCTGGAGTCAATGTATCTTATATTGCATTTCTGCACCGTCCATGCAGTGAGAGGTTGACAGGAGAAAACCCTTCTCTTGTTATGTTTTTTCCTGTTAGAATTATTTGATATCATCTGAGTAATTGCAGTAGTGCTCAGTTGATTAAAATATAAAATAAATGCTAGTAAATATACCACATGGGATATAAAGAGATGACACCATCTATTATCTGTATAACATCAGATGTAACTCCAGGTCTATTAAGGTTTCCTGGTTTTCATAATGGACAAAATCCATCCTGTGGGTGCAAGAAACTGCAATTGTACTCATTATACATGTTGAGACTAGTGTGCTAGAAAAACATTCACCCGCAAGAAGTGGCTAAGAGGTAAGTAACTTAGATTTCTTGTGCACACCACTTGGTTTATAGATATAAACCAAGCTAACATTTTAGTACAAATGCCGAATTGAGCATGCAGATGAGTTATTTTACAATCCCATGGTTTTTAATGGAAATTAGTAGAGCTGTAAATCAAGCAAAAATTAATCATAATTAATTCCATCATTATAAATTGTTTGTGATTAATTATACAATTAATCACACTGTTAAACAATAATGTAATACCATCCCTTTAAATATTTGTGCATGGTATCTACATTTTCAAATACATTGATTTCATTTACATCAGAGAGTAAGTGTACAGTGCTCATTTTATTTTCATTACAAATATTTGCGCTGTAAAGAACAAAAAAATGTATTTTTCAATAAATCTCACGCAAGTACTGTAGTGCAATCTCTTTATTTTGAAAATTGTACTCACAAATATAGAATTGTATACAAAAAATCCCTACATTAAAAAAATAAAACAAAGTAGAACTTTAGCGCTTACAAGTCCACTCAGTTCTACTTCTTGTTCAGCTAAACAAATTTGGTTACAATTTGCAGGAAATAATGCTTCCTGCTTCTTGTTTATAATATCACTTGACTTTTAGGTGACATTGTAAAGAAGAAGCAGGCAACAATATCTTCCATCAATGTAAACAAAAACTTGTTTGTTTTAGCAATTGGCAAGATAAGAAATAGACCTGAGTAGACTTGTAGGGCTCTAAAGTTTTCATTGTTTTATTTTTGAATGCAGGTATGTAACCATAAAGAAATCTACGTTTGTAAGTTATACTTCTACAGAGATTGCACTTCATTTCTTATATGAGAGCAATTGAAAAATACTATTTAGTTTGTTCATCATTTTTACAGTGTATATATTTGTAATAAAATAATATAAAATCATCACTGTACGCTCTGTGTTCTGTGTTGTAATTGAAGCAGGGCCGGCCCGAGGTATTCTGGCGCCCCGGGCATGGGCACACAGCGCTGCCCCTGGGCGCACAGCGCAAGCGCGGCTCAGTGCGGCCTGGCCATCGCTCCTGGCACGCGCGCTGGGCCGTGTTGGGCCCTGCGGCTGTGGGGGGGGAAGGCGTCACTACGGGGCCAGCGCTGCAGGAGCCGGGCGCGCAGTGCCTGATGGCAGCTGTAAGGGATGCCACATGCCCCTTACAGCTGCCATCAGGCGCCTCCCATCGGTTGGCGCCCTGGGTAGCTGCCCGGCTGGGCCTGATTTGAAGTCAATATGGAAATATAGAAAAACATACACAAATAATTAATAATTTTCAGTTGGTATTCTATGTAATTACTCACAATTCATATTTTAATCATGATTAATTTTTTAAGTTGATTACATGAGTTAACTGTGATTAATCTACAGCCCTGGAAATTAGTAAATTTTGATCGGAGCTTATGCGTGACAGTTGGGTATTATGTGGCTTTTCTGTTCTTAAAAAGAATTGTGTCACTAGTTAAACCAAACTATTAGTTATAAAGGATTGAAAAACTAGGGCTATGTCTAGACTGCCCCCTCTTGCACAAAAAAATGCAAATGAGGCAAAGCGTGGAATACTGCCGTGCCTCATTTGCATAATTAATGAGGCTCCATTTTTGTTCAAGAGGCTTTTGCGCAAAAAGGAGCTGTCTACATGGCTCCTTTTTGCGCAAAAACCCCCTCTTGTGCAAGAACTGTTCTTCCCCTTTTTTTTCAGGAAGAAGAGCTCTTGCGCAAAAGCCTGTAGCGCAAAAGCAGAGCCTCATTAATTATGCAAATGAGCAGGGCTTGCTGCTTGCCAGCTGTGCGGAAGCACGCGCTGCGCATGCCCTGACCATGCTGCGTGGCCCCACCGGGCTAAAATCTACTCGCCACGGGTGAGTAGATTGCCTAATTTGTCGAGCCCTGCAAATGAGGCACGGTGATATTCCATGCTTCACCTCATTTGCATTTTTTTTGTGTAAGAGTGGGTGAGCTAGACATAGCCTATATGTTTTGAAACTGATTAGGTTAGACTTTCATTATTTTGTTTATGTTAATTTTAAACAAAATGTCAATGTACTGTTTTCTGTTTATCTGCTTTTTAAATCTCATATGCAGGGGCAGAAGCTCAGCGGTTACTAGCCACAGCAATTCATCAGAAGAAAAAGAAAGTGAAGAAATTCCCCATTTCACAAAATAAAGACCTTAATAAGGGTAACTTTTTTTCTTATGTTAACATTGCTTCTCAAAAACCTCAATTTAACCTCATTTTGTATTCTAGTTAGTGTTAGCACTGTTACTTTAAAAATCCCACTTGTACAAAAATGTTCATCCTTTCTAATGTGTAGCATCAGAGATTATTAAAATTGAGAGACAATAATAAGCTACGCAACTTGAGCTACGTAGCTTATTTCGAGATAGCCTGTTTCAAAATGTGGTGCTGTCTTCACAGTATTGAACTTTGAAATAGAGCACTATTCCAGCATCTTCCTTATTCCTCGTGCAACAAAATTTACAGGAAGCCATAATGAGATGCCTGTTATTTCAACTTTATTTCAGAATAATGGGCATGCTGTTAAGACACTCACAATGCTATTTCAGGATCATTATCCTGAAATAGAGTACGTCTACACAGCAGTGCTAAGTGACCTATGCCACTTCCCACAGTACCCAACTGTGGCCTCTGGGGCTACGTCTAGACTGCATCCCTCTGCCAGCGGAGGGATGCAAATCAAGCACTTTGGAAGTGCAAATGAGTCCAGGATTTAAATATCCCGGGCTTCATTTGCATACTCGTGCTCAGGCGCTGTACCAATCATGCACCTTTTCGAAAGTGAAAGTAAAGTGTAGCTATAGCTCTGCCAACAGCAGGGAGCTTTTTTGGAAGATCCTGTACTCCTCATTTTTTGAGGAGTACAGGATCTGCCAAAAAAACTCCCCGCTGTTGACAGAGCTGTGGCTACACTTTACTTTCACTTTCGAAAAGGTGCATGATTGGTACAGCGCCTGAGCACGAGTATGCAAATGAAGCCCGGGATATTTAAATCCTGGACTCATTTGCACTTCCAAAGTGCTTGATTTGCATCCCTCCGCTGGCAGAGGGATGCAGTCTAGACATAGCCTGGGAGCTGTAAGCGGCTATTCCTGTGGATACTCAGGTCAATAAAGTGGCTGGCAGTCCACCAGGGACTAACTCTGGTGAACTGCATCCAGCCCACGGGTTGCTATTTGCCCTCTTATTTATTAGAGAGAAATAATTACATTTAGAGTATTTATTTGTGCATTGGACAATGTTCAGTGTAGTTTTGCTACTGCTTTGGTGAGCTGTTTCATATCCTACTTTTAAGCACTAATTTAATGGCATTGCCATTATGGGTATGTTCTTCTTCCACACATTCAAGAGACTGTATAATAATAAGACAACAACCGAAGTGCTAGAGGGACTATAAGGAAGCCATTTTTCCCTGGACTTCTGGGACAGGGGCAGATCATTAATAAGGATAGTTTTTCACCCTCCCAGGACCCTACAAGGTCATTTTTAGTTCTGTATCCCTTCACTAAGTCATGGAAGATATCATTCTTTCTTCCCCTAATCATACAGTGAGGTGGGAAAGGGAAAAGCAATGTAAGATTGGTTCTCGTTCTCTCAACTTTTTAAGCTGGATGAAAGATGAAGGGGAAAGTAAGTGGGGAGAAAAATACGCGGTAGGTTCCCTAGCCTGATTTAAAGCTAGGAGAATCAGGTGAGTCTTAAGGAGTCTATATTGAACCTTCACTTCCCAAATCTTAGGGCGCACTTGGAACTTAGGTGAAGTAGGAGATTCTTTCAATACCTGTGCTCCTGCATAGGGCCAATTGAGCAGTGTTCCCTGTAAGCTGAGCACTTGCACAACCACTCAGGTTAGTTTCAAATGTCCAGCTGATTAGCAGAGTGCACACAGCTCTCAAAACCAGAAACATGTGTTTCTACTGGTAGTGCACATCCACAAATTCCTTGGTGCGCATAACAAAACTTATTCCACACATGGATGAAAAATATAGAGGAAATACTGCACTTGAACCCCCTGCACTGTATCAACCAATGGTAATGTAGGGGGTTACTTAATGGAGAGTTCTTTCACTCCCTGCCTCCACGCCATTTATTGGCCCAGGAGCCATCAGGTGCTTTGGTGGAGGAGACCCCTTTTACAAAGCCAGGACCTCTCTCTGAGGCCAGGCATAGCAGAAAGAGCACCAGACATGAGTAAGGGCTCTGGGCAGAATGACCAGTAACATTGGGTGGTGATAGCCCAGAGAAGCAGGAACAGGAAACATATATTTCTTTCTATTTTATGGAGAGGATGCAGGAAGGAATTTTCCCATTTGCTTCTCTGTAATGTGTGGGGAGAGGCAGAAGTGGCTGAAGCAAGCATACCCACACTTGTATGGGGCTAGGAGGGTGAAGCAGCTGTCAACAAGGACAAGGACAACCTTAACCTGTTTACAGGGCTGGGATGTAGGACATATGAGATTGATTGCATTGCAAAATATTTATTCTGTGAAATAAAAATATTTTAAATTAACTAGCATGACAGTTTATAAAACTAATGTGAATTCATTTTTCAGTGTACCAGAATATTTTAATGCTGATATATATATATTGCAGTAAGATTCAATATTGTACTATGTAGGGATTTTTTAAACTCACAGTTATCCTTTTCATTACCTCAAATCATAAAATACTAAGAGGTATAGATAAGCTTCCATGATGGGTATGATATAACTACTGGTTTTGATTTTAGGAGTCTTACTGATTCCTCAGGACACAGACAAGGTGAGCAGATACAATTTATTTATGAACACATTTATTGTTCACTTGCACTAATTCAAACAGCACTCTTCTCCACATGAACATAAGTGAGATGAGCTTTTTGAAGAACAGTAAGTCACTTAAGATGCTTTAGGTGTTGTAAACCATCCCTATATATATTTTAGAGATGTGTGTAACTGTCTGTGTGTCTGTCTCCAAGTCTGTTTGTTCAAGAACTGTTCCTACATGGTAAGAGCTTGGACCACCAAATTTGATATGTAGCTTCCTCTTTTCCTAACTTAAAGCAAGGTCAGAGTTTGGAAGTGCTAGGAAAAGGACTGTTTTCCATAATATGCAAAGAGGGGCTATTTGAAAGGATTTGATACTGAGCGTGTCCACTGGGGACAGCAAGCCTCCGGGGGAGAGCTATCCAGCAGAGTGTCAACTAAGGGCAGCTGTATCACCAAAGGAATGGCCAACAGGGGTGGAGGTTTGCCATTTTGACTGCCAGCACACTGGGTAAGTAGCCTCCCTGACCCAAACCCTCCCCCCCCCCCAGTCCTTGGCTGCAGCACTGGAGAGGGAGGGGAGAGAAAATGTTCCAGGTGGCCAGAAGGGGCTAGGTTGGAGGGGAGAGGCCCCTGGTGGCTAGGGGGGGAGGAAAAGGGGCCCCTCATGGCCAGTGGGAGGCTGGGGGAAGAGAAAAGACCCCTGGTGACCAGAGAGGCCTGGGGGAGAGAAAAGGCCCATGCTGAATTGGGCCTCCCACCCTGAACCTCCCCAACCCTCACTTTTGCACCCTCCATACAGCCTCCTGCACTGACCCCTCACATCCCCAAAGCTCTGTCATGACTCCTAAAACACTCCGCCCCCTACTCACCACCCCCCTGCCAGCTCCTTGCTCTGAAAGACCCAGGAAATGCTGGGTAAGTCTTCTAGTTTGTTTATATTTATAATCCTCCTTCTAGTGCCAGGATCATAATTCTACCACTTAAAACTTCTCTTTTCCTCTGTGACAGCTATACTGGAATGGAATAATTAGCAAATGGCAATTGTGCTTGGGGGAAAACCATTTGTGATGGCACATTGAGTTTAGTCCATCTTAACTAGAAAATATTGACTAGGAGGAAAAATCTATGGCTTTACGGGATTATAATTGGTCAGGTGAATCAACAAACAGATGAGTTCAAGAGCACTCTGGCAAAAAAATTATGATTAGATTTAAACATGGCTTACTGTGCTTGATCTAATAGATATGCTTTCTGATCAGTAATCCAGGCAAGTTAGAATCAATCATAGAATCATAGAACCATTGAGCTGGAAGAGACCTCAGAAGGTCATCAAGTCCAGCCCCCTGCTCTAGGCAGGACCAATCCCAACTAAATCAACCCAGCCAGGGCTTTGTCAAG